GGCTGAATTTCTTCAGTGAAACTCACTCTATTGAAGGAAATAGATTCATCTGACTGTTTTTGTGCTGATTCAAGAGAGCGTGCTTGAACTGAAGCATCTTCTAATTTTAGGAACATATGATTTTTGAGTAATCTTTGAAGTAGGTATTTGGGATAAATGATGAAAGCAACGCGAATGAAGCTGTAACAATTTTAGAATAACATCTTTTTTATGCTGATCAAGGACCGGATTATTCATCTTTCGACAAAAGGTCTGTTCTCACAAGAGTCTCTGACAGTTTGTCAAAAATCATCGCCCATAGATGTTTTTAATGCCGTCGTTCCATGATTATTCAGTAATTTAGCTGAGCGATTGTTTCTGACAGTCTGCAAACTGTTAGAGACTTGTGAGAACAGACCTAAACTTGCTGAAACTGTCTACCAGACAAATATACCGAAATAGTTATAGATCGCGTTTTTGTCCGTCAGATTCCATTACCTGACAGTTTTTCAGAAGGTGAATGAACCAAGCATTAGTGAAATGAAATATTGATTGATTAATTGATTGATTAATTGATTGCTTACTTACACACAGTCGATGTCGAGCAAATATTTAATTTATTGGTTCATCAGAAGTACGTATCTCAAAGTACATGACAATCTTCAAGGAAGAAAATAATGTGAGATAAAGGTGAACTCATATGAAGACTATAATGGTTTATGTGTGCATGTGTATGTGTATGTTGGAGGTGTCAGTTGACCGCGACGAAAATTAATCTATTGTACCCGTCCTTTTGCTGCTAAGTTCGGGTTTCTTGCTCAAAGCAGCCCCTGCAGTCCTAGGTCCTTTAGGAATTTTAGGATATCTAGCTGTTCCAGGGCTGGAATGTCTTCTAACTGTATAAGGGCACTTTCCAGATTCTTTATCTTTGAGCGACTAACGGCATCGCAGTTCAGTAGAAGATGGTGAGGGGTCTCTTTTCCGTCTTCACAGAATCTGCCACCTGATTTGAATCTGAAGGTGCCACCTTCTTCTAACTCCAACTTCTGTAGGTGTTTCTTAAGTGTGCAATGTCCCGAGAAACCCAGTAGGAGAGTCTTGAGACTTTTCTTGCTAAGGTTGACTAGCAGTTCTGATCTTTTTTGGTTGAAAATGCCCAATAGATCTTTGGCCTGTCGTAGTCCTGGCTGTTCTAGCCATTGTTTGTTCCTTAGCCGATTCTCTTCTTTTTTGCGCATTTCTGACGTCGCAAAATGGTTCAGGGTTCAGTGAAGGGAGTAGACGCTCCCTTTCTTACGAGTCTGTCTGCGCATTCGTTGTCAGAGAAGTATTACTTTATTTTGTTTTCCAAGCTCATTGACTTTCTGTAGACATTCCCATACTGTCTTAGAATTGATGACCGAAGATCTCAATGAGCTGTTCGGCTGTCAGAAATTATTACAATATCTCGTTTCCGATAACTTCTGTTCAAGTTGAACTGCACGCATCTTCCGAACGCATGAAGTTCCGCTTGAAATATGCTGGGTGATTTCCCCATTGGTTCCGAGTATCTGGTCCGTGGCCCAAATACTCCGGCTCCAGTTACCTCAGCAGTTTTGGAACCGTCTGTGTACCATTTGGTGTCTTTAAGGGATTGGATAAATTCCATGTTCCATCTGTTATTTGTATTTAGTTCTATGAGAAAGTTCTTCTCGAAACTGAATTTATCAACAATCACATCTTTTGGTAGATCCATGAGGTGTGCACAGTTTGAGAGAGGAAAGTTCTATAAAGGAGCGTTTTCCTTTGTAAACCTCCAGTCTGAGACATGATCCACTGGTTATCCGCTTCACTATTATGTGGAGTGATGTGAGGTCTAGAATGACTTCTAGTACCGCGGTTGGGCATAGTCTCATTGCTCCTGTTATACAGAGACACGAGAGTCTTTGCATTTTTCCTAGGGTTTTCCTAGCTGGGTTCGGCTATACCAGGCTACCGCTCCGTAGGTGATGATGGGTCTCACTATCATGGTATAAATCCACTTTTGGATTGATGGGTTACAACCTCATGTTTTTTATGTTCTCTATATGTCAGTTCCAGAGAAGTTTAAAATCTAGGATTATTTCTAAGAATTTAACTTCTTTTTTCTAATCAAGTCTGCTTCCATCGAGGCGAATGTTTCTTAGGTTTGGGAGTTTCGTTTTTTTTTTTTTTTTGTTAATGTTACCAGTGTAGTTTTTGCTGAGTGTAAATTCAGCCCCACTGTGTGAAACCATTCCTTCGTGGTTCGAAGTGGTTTTTCTATAAGGTCGCAGAATATTCCTTCGTATTTGTCTCTGGCCATGATGACAATATCATCGGCGTACCCAAAGCAGGTGAAGCCCAGATCGGTCAGTAAATTTAGGAGGTCATCAACCACTAGAATCCACATCAAAGGTGAGAGTACTCCTCCATAATAATATAAGGTATAAGTAATGATATATCTTCATCAAAGACACTTGGTATAGTCTTTACAGAAGTTGAAATATTTATGATGAGAAGAATAAGATCCTTTGCAGAGAAGAGAAATTGAAGTCAAAATGAGAGACAAAATGAATATGAAAATTCAAGGTGAAAGACAATAAAACTGAAGACCCGCCACAGAGGATGAAAAATCAGAATCATTGTGAATTTGGAAGATGAAAGACTTGGAAAACCTGCCACTGACGATAACAAATCACAGTGCTAGTGAAAACTCTATTATAAAAAATGAAAAAACTCTGTGTTATTCACGAATCGAATTTGAGTCAGTATCTGATATTCCCAAAGATTTTTCATCAGACACAAAGCGACTGACGATTATCCCACTGTGCGGCGGGAAAACTCGTTCGGCGTTTTCCCGACCCCGTGGTGGGGGTAAAATGGCGTCCGTTCCTGCTAAAGGAAATGACGTAAACGATCGATACGGCCTTGCAGATGATTGGCCAGGGGATGCGGAGGAGGCGGCGACTGCAACCGATTTTAAAATAGTCCCAGTTTCGGACTGTTTTCGACGTGATTTCTTCTACGACACCGGAACACAGCTGTGGTTTTCATTGGAGATACACACACGTGAGATGAGGGAAAATATCACAAAATTATTATGAAAGTGGAAAAAAATTTCCTCAAACATCTCAGATATTTATGTCTATAGAAGATTATTTTTCTCGATCCTACACTAAGTCAATTATAGAGAGAGCCTTGCTTTGCACATACGGTCTAAAAATGATCCACCACCAAATATAATTTGATTAGAACCTAGACATAGGTACAAAAAACTTACCTAAAAGATAATTTCCTCCTACTATCCAATCCAACAAGATTAGAGGTGCTCTTTGGTCTTTGTGAAAAAAAGAAAAACCGGAACCATCTTTTTGCGCTTAAGTTTTGTTCGCAGCCGGCAAATTTGAAGGAGCGGACTTAAAGACAACGTGAGAATGTCGTTATTAATTCATAAGCTCAATTAAAACCCGAAAGGGTTGTTATAAAACTTGGCTGTCGGCCAGGAACGGACTTGGGAACTCATCTTTTTACTTTGTAGCTGAAAAAGGATTTATTTATATGTTCAATTTTCATCTCTGGAGAGGTGAGAAAATTCACTGGAATAGGTACTTCCTTCTTAAAAAAGTAGTGGATATCTTATGATCTGCACAAGTAACACCTTAATGCAGTCAAAAATATCTTTCGCTCCGTTCCTGTTCAACTTCATATCTCATCTTATTCTCTGTACCTACCCGTTCGTTTAGCCATTCCCTTTATCTTTTCCAGTTAAGACAGTAAATTTTGATTGTTATGAAGGAAATTATGCTTTAAATTAAGACGTTTTAATTTATTTTTCAATCAAAAAGTTCTTGCACAATCATTGTATTTCTTATTTCGCTCGATCATTGCCGAAATTGGGGCTCGATTCGCATTACAATTCATACCACTTGAGGGCACGTGTTGTCGCCGCTGGGAACAAGTGTTTGTTCCCCCTTTTCCGGACCCGGGAAACCTCCTGAAACGAGCAGCACGTGGCCTAAAACCACTCAACTAATAAGTTTGTTCCGAATTATTGAATCAATTTCATATTTTTCGACATGTAATAGGATCTGAAATCATAATAAAGAATAGATTTTTCGTCTCTGATATTGGAATTGTTCAATTTGATATAGAAAACTCCACTGGAAGAAACAGAATTCACATAAAAGTCAACTTAATAAGCTATAATATGTAAGAAGGTACTTACGTACCACGTACGATTTTTCTGGATGCGATTCTAATATTGTAACAGCTGAATTTTGTGTTCGACAGCCAGAAATCGCTTTGACAGGATCTTTTTGCAATTTAATCTCAATTTAATAATCCAGAAAAATTCTCTCAACAACTTCTTGCCCTCAATGACTGAAGTCAAGCATTGCATTTTTCTCTTAGAATTGATAACTCAACAGTAATAGTTGAAGGTAAAGGTTGGAGTCAAACACAGTATTCTAATGAGAAGAATACTTAAGCTGAAAGTCTTTGCTTCTAAATCTCATTTTTGATAATTCTCCTTAAGTAATTGTGATACGAAATAGTTTTCTTCGGGTGAAACTTCAATACTACAAATTTCTTTTGCAACAGTGACATACCAGATTCACTGGATTGGATAAACTTATTTCTATTATTCTAAATTTTCTTTTATTGTTTACTCTAACCCACTTTCCGTCTTTTCTTTATAATTGAAGCAACTCAATTTTAAGTTAAGTTTCTGTCTAAATTTTCCAATTTAAACCTATTCTCCCATCACGTTAATTACAAACGATCTAAACTTAAAATTTGCCACCCCAAAGGAAACGTCAAATTTCCTGTTTGACGCACCCTTTGCCTCGTCAACCATCAATGTATACACCAGACACTACATCCAAATTATATTTATATCACTTAATGCCACGCGTTTGAACACGTGCGGGTAAATTACTGCGGATAAGGTGATTGCTTGTAATAAAAATTTGCATTACATGAAGTGGTTGAACAATTAATCTAAAAATGTGCTTTTTTTTCAGAGTCGAATTCTAGAAGATGCCTCGATTATGTGTAATTCGTGGTCTCCTAGACACAATGTGAGTATAATTTGCATGTTAGTTTTTAAGCATGAACAAACAAAAATACTTCCCTAAATATATTATAACTAAATAATGTATGACTCACCAATATTCATTGCATTGTTCAACTTTACAATGCTTTAAAGAAAAATTAAAATCTCGAACAAGTCATTAGAGTAAGATTTTACTTAAGGGTAAGTGGCGTCGCAAAGTTGTTGACAAACTAATTTTTCAAACCAGCGATTAATTATTAAAAAGAAGTTGTCAATTTTTGAGCAACAATTAAATTAATTGTGACAAATGAGGTTGCTGAACGGAAAATTATAATTTTTATAAATAAAAATATAGGCGACTACTTTATTAGCCGAGGCTAACCTTCCATAATCACATACACATTAATAAATAAGGTATGTTTACTAACTTCAAACAAATTAAATATTCACTAGTCGTTTTTATGAAAAATTACCAGTTATAGTGCGCTATCATCCGTGTCAATATATCAACAGGTGTGAACGTGCCTTTAATCATTTAAAACGGATTCATTTATATGTCGGCATAATATATCTAGTTGGCAATGAATGAACTAGAGCTTTTGCGATCAATTGATGATTTATAAAAAAAGGTCTGGGTCAGGTTTTTGAAGTACTGCTTCATTTTCAGTGAGAGTCGGTTTGTCAATAGCGAGTCACATTCGGGTTGGTTTTAACTCCAGGGTAAACGTGTCCAGTTACAATGTTTACCCTAGAGTTAACTTATATATGTATATATATACGAATCGGCTTCAAAACGTTCTTCGACGTCTTCCGATGCCCAGTCGCTATTGATCTCTATCTAGTCAGAGATCCTCTTCCAGTCCCCGGTCTCTCATCTCCTTGTTTATCTCCTTTCTCCAGCCTTTTTGTGGTCTTCTCCTTTTTCGTCTTCCTACTGGCTTCCAATCAAGAATATTATAACGGCTTTGGGGTGCGTGACAGAAATTTTGGATTCGTTTCGTTTATTCCAAAAATCAAAGTCCAATTAACACTGCAATAATTTATTCCACTTAACAATACACTCTGACACTAATTACTTTAATAACTAACTCAACAATTAAACTCTTACAACTCGCAACAATAATCACTATTCAAATCGTATCACAGTTAAACTGAAACTTGAAACTACAAAGCAATAACGGCCTTTATATATCCCTAAATCTATTCCTGTAAAATCTAGAATACACACGATAATCTTATTTTTCCGATTAAAGAAGAATAATTCGCTAAATTCTAGAATATTCGACAGCAGATGCCTACGATTCTTGACAGCCTGGCGGACGCCGTTATTCTGGCAGCAGCGTTATCGTAACAATATGTTTTGGCAGTCTCTCATCAGACATTCTTTGTACGTGGCCATACCATTTCAGCTGTTGTGTTCTTATTTTGTCAAGGATTGTCCTATTTTTACCCATGATTTCTCGAATTCTGTTGTTAGTTATTCTTTCCGCTCCAGATTTTCCTGCAGCACGCCTACAGAAATCCATTTGTGTCGCTTCGAGGGTACGTACGATTGTATCCTTTAGGTGCCATACTTCGCTTCCATAGGAGACAATGCTTTTTACAATAATTGTGTTGTATATTCGGTGTTTATTGGTTTTAGAGATATGATTGTCCCATAGAACACTTTTTAGATAGCATAGATATTGCTTTTTTTCCTTGAGCATTTCTATTTTCAATAGTTTCATCTAGCTTTCCACTTGACATCTTCACTCCCAAATATTTGTATTATTCGCAACCTCCAATAGTTTGACCATTATCCAGTGGTAGATTTTGTTAGGGTCCGCCGACGAACATGTATTCGATTTTAAAGTCCGTCAATTTTAATCTGATACTTCAAAAAAATGTGAGTTGGTGGTTGCCTACTGTCGTGGTGTTCATTATTAGTGGATTGTATATTGAATTCGGCGCTGTTTTATTGAAATTGAACGCTGGTTTTGTCTTATTTACACCACTAAGTATTTATTCACAATTCACAGAACTACTTTACTACTTTACAATTGTGTGCATGATTTTTTGACCGCAGCCAAAAACAAAACTTCAAAAAACTGAGCTTGCCACGACGCTCTCATTAATATTACAAACTCTCACACGTAACTGATTCACAACGCGACTCCGTACTCTCTTTTACATATTCAAGGAAAAGCCTAGAATTCCGGAGTCGTGTTCGACCAATCAGAATTGAATTCTAGATTGCGTTCGACCAATTAGAAGTGCTATCAAGTGGCGCGGCATATTGGGTGCTGTTGCTATGGAAAATTGTATACCTTTATTATTTAATATTTAAAATAGAATATTCTGGAGAATATTATTATATTCGAGAATATATTATTTCGCCACCTACGTCTAAACGTCAATGGTCAACTGACGTTACACCTGTTTTTGCCATATACTTCACCCCCTCGCTCCTCATACGGAAAGTGTCAGATTAAAATCGACGGACAATAGATATGTTGATCTCTAGTACCCATTTACTATATTCTTGAACTAGCTTTCTGGTCATATATTCGAGATCGTTAACGTCTTGATCGTTTGCGAAGCTTGGGGTATAGTATATCGTTAAGCGGGATACCCATATTGCTACATTTACGTTTCCATTGTAGCAACACTTTTTCTAAAAATATTTCGAAAAGTGTAGGAGGCAAACAATAACCTTGTTTTAAGCCTTTGCTTGTGAAGAAACCATTGTAGAGTGTATTTCCAACTTCCATTTTTATATGACAGTTTTTGTAAATTTCAATTATCGTTATATTTATTCTCCAAGGTTTCCCACAGTTTAACCATTGGAACGCTGTCATAAGTTTGTTTCAGGTAGGTGGACTTCTTTATTAACGGCTGACATTTTTTCTAGAATTTGTGGTACACAGAGAAGGTGATCTGCCTGTCCGGAATCCAGCTTGTTCTTCATCTTCGTTGACGGCAAATTCTTGTTCTATTCTAGATTTAAGTACTTTACCGTCTAATCTACTTATCAATTCCGTAACTACAATGCCCCTGTAATTGCCACATTCATCTTCACTACCCATTTTATGTATGGGGTAAGATAGGACACTTTCCATTCTTCTGGAATCTCACCGGTATTAATGCATTTATGGAATAACTTTGCTAGGTGTTCGAAGCTTTGCTGTTTTTCAAGCTTTTGCATGCGTCTTTGACTTTATTTATGGGTATTCTGATGGGTGACGCTGAAACAGATATGTTATTTCCGTTCCGTTCGGGCTCCTTGAATTTGTCTTGCAATAGTTCACTGAAATAGATGTCCCATTTTTGTAATGAAATAGGAGATATTATATCTATCTTTTTCTCTTGACGTAGTGACTAATATTTTTCAGCTTTCTGTGCTTTTTCTTTCTCCAAGGTATGTTTGGATTGCTGTACTTCTTCTTTCCCAATATTTATTCTTCTTTTGTGTGATCTTTCTCCTGACCTTTGCTTGGACTTCTTTAAATAAATTTTTTTCTTCTTGTTTCTTTGTTGTTAAGAATCTTTAATTAAAATTTCTTTTTTCTTTAATGTCTCTTTCAATGTCCTCGTCCCACCAATAGAGTTTTCTTTGCGTTTTCTTTCCATACCCGGGGGTAACTTGCTATTGAGAAACCGGCCCTGAAGCTCGTGTCTTGGGTTCCATATTTGAAGCATATTGAGCGCATCTTTTGCACCATTCTTCAACATCCCTACGAAAGTTAATGCAGTAATACCAACCTCTCGAGTCAATCTACAAGATAACTCACCGACATATTCATTATACTGTCACTTTTGTTGTTGGCTCCATCATACTTAGGTTTAAGTTTTGAAGGGCTTGCTCTGCAACTGTACAGCTTGCATTCGGAGGCCCATTGGCCCATTGTGATCCCTTCTTCAGTGTGGTTCCCTCCCAAATCTTTAACTTGTTCCTGGAGAGTATCCCTGATGCTGATTCCATGATTTCACTAATGGTTGATAAGCTGAAGCCCCTCACCAATACTACTACAGGGCTTTAGAATCATGTTGATTACCAATAGCCACAAGACTGAAGATATCACTTCTCCTTGTAGAGTCGCTCTAGTTGTTCTTTTCTTTATGGTATATTCACCAATTTCTGAATTCTGAATTCTATATTCTGCTGCAGTTCCTTTGGAATTTTTCACAGACTGTTATTATTTCGCCTCTGACTTCTTTGACCGCATTTGGCTTTTTCTTGGTTCGTTCATATTTTGACTTGCCAATTATTCTGAAAGAATCCGGCGATATTGTTAATATCCTTTGTCTTTGTTTTTTGCCTTGATGTAGTTTGTCTTCTTATTCTTGAAAAACTAAATCACGCTAATCTTAACTTACTGACGTCTAATTTATCACTGACCCGTTTTCATTATAGCATTGCAAAGATATTTAAAAAATTTGCATCATTGAAATCTAGTTGACATAGACATAATAGGTACTTATGTAAACTATTTGAATATTTAAAATCGATACCAAATACACGTGTACAAAAGTAGTAATTCGAACCAAACAATTCGTCGAAATAAATTATGAGTTCTCGGTCCGCACGCGAAAAGCTGAAAAGGAAAAATTAATTACAACTAATTTGAGCCGTAGCCTTTATTAATCCGTCGTTTTGTAGCTTCATAATCCTCTCATAATTTCGCATCTCTCCCGGAGTTTAACCGAAAGGGAAAAGACAAATGAGGGTCGGAAACCTAACCTTTAAATAAAGCCGAGCACTCGTGATAAATCTACCCTCGGTGTGCGAGCGAGACTAACGAGAAGGCAATGGAATTACTGCGATTATCACTTGTCACGGCCCTTAATAACTCTTCATCTCTTTTACAAGGTATATACGAACCCGGGATGCAAGTAATAAGACTGATTGCCTGGCATTTGTCTCGGAGACGGAAATTAATCGAAGAAAGTTTGTGTTTGTCAGAGGGCTTTATGTATCTAAAAATAAACTGCGAAAGAGAGAGGAAAATTTTTCCACATAATGTAGGTTACGTAAACACAGCTTTGGAAAAGGCATTCATAAAATTGTGTGCCTCTAAAACGAGTTGATCCGAGACGGGACGTCACTCACATAAAACACGTCTGTTACCTCTTCTGATGTTTAAATCACAAGTCAAAATAAGTGGGTTTGTAGACTTTATACAAAATGAAAAACATAAAATGCGTGTCACAGTCAAGGCAATTGTGAATTATGTACAAGATTGCTCCGACCAGTTTAAAATAGGATTGAAACTTGAATGTGCGAACTTATTGATCCTCTCATTATCATCTTTTGATCCTTGAAATTTTAAGAAAAGCCAATGTACCTACAGTTTCTAAATGGCACCCGATATCAAAAGTGACTCTGTATATTATTTTTTGCAACAAAAATATAAATGCACATAGACTGCACAATTGCCCCTGTGTAGATTTAAAAATAAAATAACTACCTCTATAAAAAATGTATATCGCGTTCAATAAAAGTTGAAATACATAAAAGCCCTTCTATATTTGTTATTGGCTGTTCGAATATCACTTAGTTTAATAACAAAATTTATCCCTTTTTGAAAATCCTAGCTATCTCCGTCACTGATCATCATCAACATTAACTGAAAGGGGGGCAAAATCCAGTGGGGTAAATGAATTATAAATGAGCAGCCGTAAGAACTAACTCCAAACCAACCCCTGCCTGCCCGTGTTTTTGTACTTTTAGACGCACCCCATCCGCCCCGGCGTTCGTCAAACAACATTTCAAAATTTTAAGCTTTATGTTTAAAATGTCTTAATTCCCAAGCTCTTAGGTTTTAAAGTGCTTTATCTGTGGACTTTTAAATGATTTTTGATTCGCACTTTGTGTTCCCCAATCGAGAAAAAGGGACTAAAACTTTAAATGATTCGAAAGTATCTCGGGAAAGAAATTAAAACTTAAGCAGCCATAAGGTCGACGCAAAAAATCATAAATAATTTACGGGGGCGTTTTACCGTGTGGAGCATTACGAGAATTCATAAATTTTTCAACATGTTTATTAGACCTGGCTTTCTTCAATATTTGAGCTTTTTTTTCGCCATGGGATTTCTCTTGGAAAATATGCCAAGGACAATAATGTTTTGAACCCTTTGTACAGAGCGTAATTTCAAAATCAAGATAACCCATTTTAATGTTCATGTATGTACGTTGTGACTTGATTTTATTGTCGCGTTTTCGATCAATATCATCGTGTAAACATGAACACAATTGTAGGAAGCTTCACTTGACATAATTTTAATCTATTTTATGATTGTCAGCACAAAAAATTCAACAATAATATAATCAATATTAAAATACCTTATGCCTTCAATCACAACTTCAAATATCAATATAGCAAAACCAATTTCCAAGTCTATTGCCGTTTATTCAAGCACCATCTTTATTTCCCATATTTCTTTACCTCAAAAAGTTAGAGCTCTTCAAAAAACAAGGAAAATTACCCTAATGATTCGATAAAGTACTCCATAATATAGAGAGCCCAAACACGCAACCTATACCGATATATCGATGATAATCATTTTATAGGTACAAGTGTACGATAAAATATTGCCTTGTTTCTTAATAATTTTTTTTTTGTTGTTCCAGGGTGATATCTTTTCTGGTCTCAACGATGGACTTATCAGCAGGGCAGAAGCTCTGGCAGCCGTTGATATTAAGCATCAAGGCTCTGGAGGACCTGGAGGCTTACCGCAACTCAAACACGACATGATGTATCATCACAGTATGACGGCGCCACCTCCGGTTAGTAGATCACATCAAGTAAGTTAAGAGTAGGGGCTGTTTTGTTCATCAAATTTTAATGATTCACGACCCCTAAATGGGTCTATGCGGATAAAATATTTAGAGTCTTTTCAAAATCTTTCAATTACCATCTTAAACGCCTCTCTCATCTGTTTGGTTCTGGACATAGGCGTCCTTGAATTCTTCCAAAGAATTTTGCATTAATTTTATCCAGTTGGTTATTTTATGTAGTAGAGTGAAAATGTCAAAGTAAAGGAGGAATAATAGGAAAGATTTAAAAAAGATTTGGATGAAAATCTGTTCATGAAGTTAGTTGACAGACAATTTCATGAACAGCTGGGCTAGGTGCACTAAGGTACATCAGAGGAGGAGCAGCAACACAATAGAGCTCCAAAGGTAAACCTTTCAAATTCTAGCGCAGCTCAATTATTTACAATATTGAGCAATCGCATCCATCAAAAGGTAAGAGAGAGCATCTTCAAGATGAATCGAGTTCGAAAGTTACTCATAAAAAAACAAATAGCAAATCAAATTCGACCAAACTTAGACTAAAAAAAACAAATTTACCAAAACTGACACCATCTGCTTTTAATCAAGACTTTATTACTAATTACTATTCGAAAATATTGAAACATTTGTCGGTTTGCGGTTGATATATTATTCAGCATTAATTAACAGCAATCAACTTGCTATTATAGCTAATGGATAACTTAGAATTCTGGAAACAAAAATAGCAAATGACTACAATTACTATCTGTTCTATCTAAAAACTATCTTTCGGGAACAATCTAAGCCATAAGGCATGAGCCCCCATGAAACAAAACAATAACAACAAAACAAACATACTCGAAAAATGTGTGTATGTAGGAACAGTAACATTTGACAAACGGCCTTAGACAAATACAGTGAGAGGGGGACGCAGACATTTCCCTTGGGGGGTATGTTGGGTCCCCGAGGGGGAGAGCGCGTGTATTATAGAACGTCAAATGACCACTTTACACCATTGCCTGGGTCTAATGATGAAAAATGGCCCTATCGGGAGGTAGACAGTTTTGTGTGTGTGTGTGCATGTGAATCATGGAATTTCGGCTTGTATATTCGATGATATACAGGGTTATAGTTAGGAAGTAAACTAGGAATTTAGGGTAGTAAATTCAATTTGACGGTGTGAAATTGGATTTGCACCCTCAGAAATTACTTTGTGCAAGAAAGAAATACTTTTTGGATATAAGTTTAATAAGTATCAACATTTCCAAGAAGCTGATCTGCGTGGCTTTGTGATGTATGTGTGAATGTGTATGTGTGTGTTGGAGGTTTCAATTGCACTGCGACCAAGGTTGATCTATTGTACCCCTCCTTTTGCTGCTAAGTTCAGGTTTCCTGCTCAAAGCAGCCCCTCCAGTCCTAGGTCCTTTAGGACTTTTAGGATGTCTAGTGGTTCCAGGGCTGTTATGTCTTCCAACTGTATAAGGACACTTCCCAGATTCTCCATTCTTGGAGCGACTAACGGCAACGCAGTTCAGTAGAAGATGGTGAGGTGTCTCAGTCTTCACAGAATCTACAAGCGCACCTTCTTCTAACCCCAACTTCTGTAGGTGTTTCTCAAGTCTGCAATGTTTCGAGAGAAACCCGGTTAGAGTCTTGAGTTCGAGGGTTGTTGTTTCGAGAAAAAAGTCCCTGCTGAGTGGCTGAGCTTAGTCGCTGGCACCGCCTGAATGTACCCAATGTTGCCACAGACTCCTTAACCAAAATAGACATTGACCAACAGCGCCAACTATAATATTATAACACCTCCCCCTTTAAAGAAACTTATATCTAATCCAGATAAAACTCTTTAAACTTGTCAGGCACTTTCCTAACACGTTTATTATCAACATTATGTCGAGGTGGTTCTTGTGTACCATCACCACCATGACCTTCATTACTCAAATTATCAAAATCAGATGTTTTAAATGAAGGCTTGTTCAATGACTTTTTAAGAAAACTACTGTTTCTCCTATATAGGCTATTGTACTCATTTCTTACTAAATATGATCTGGGATGACTCAGAACCTTTTCAATTTTAGCCGGAACCCAGTGATTTTCTTTTCTTAATACTATATTTCCCCCTCTAAATAATCAGGTTTATGATATGCAGATCTATAATAAAAACTGTTTATCAATAAGTGTTTTCTTTTCAATTCAACTTTTTATATCCCTAGTATCTATATGTACAGGTTCTAACTGTGAATCACAAACAGGTAATTTAAATTTAAGAACACCTGATATAAGCATCTGAGTCGGACTTAAACCTACTCCTAAAACTGCTGTGTTATGATACTCCAATAAACTGTATAAATAGTCATCAGACTTATTCAGCATATTTTTTGCAACATACCAACGGCTTTCTCAGCAAAGCCGCTAGACTTTGGATAATGCGGACTGCTTGTTACAATTTTAAAATTCCATGAATCCCTAAACTGTCTACATTTGAAAGAATGGCATGTAATATTGACAATTGAGTTGAAGAGGGCGCTTCTGTACTTAGAGCTATTTAAATTTTGGCGCGCAAATAATTAATTGTAATTTTTACCTCAAAAGTTAAGTCTGATGTGTGGTTTCAAGACAAGCTGACGCTGACACTTTTAAAAATATTCTCTAAGGGCTACTGAACGCTTTGGAAGATATTTTAACTTATTCATTGTCCATTGTTCATATTGTAGCCATATTTTCTTCTACTCAATTTAAACGGTTTAGAACTATTGACATTTACCGCCAAAATTTGAAGCACTCCAAGTTCACTCGCGCCCTCTACAAAATGTTGGAGAACTTAACTGGATATTTGCTGCCATTGAATGGCATATTAACCGCTATTAACACCTCAATGTCTTTCCACCAAGTGAACTATTTCGAACATTTGAGGATCATCTGTCACATTTTCCTTAATAAAAGACCTCAATAATAAGTCAGCAATGAGTAAACTTTTTCCAGGATGATATTCATAGTCTATATTATATTTTATGCACGAACGGGCGTAAAAGTGCACTTTTACGCCCGCATTTTAAAGCGTGAAGTAGTACTTTTACGCCCTAGGGCGCCTTTTATGCCCGCGGGCCTGAAAGTTTCAAAAATAAACAAAAATTCGTCATTTTTTTAAAAACTTTTCGTATTTCTATTGCTTAGTCTAAAAAATACCAACTTTTTTCAACAAAACAAGCTTTATTTCAATTAATAAGAATAATGAAATAAGCAATAATGGTAAAATTCAATCTACTTTGTAATTGAAAATACAATTTTTACAGTTTTTAATTTTTAAAACCGGCCCTTTTCCACAGAAATACACAAAAGAACTGTTGCCTTCAACATTGAGTAAAAGCTCCATAGGGTGGATGGCTTATTTTTTTTGCATTTTTCATATTAATGTATTATATGCCATGCCAGGAGAGTTTCTTCTACAAAGTACTGCTGCTGATTTACACTATGTTGGGCACATCAGGAAATAAAGTCCTCATATGTTTTTTCATAGAGTCTTTTGGACTTTGAAGGTATACATGTTTCTTGGCCTTTTCAACTGCCTCAAGAATAAACTTGGGCATGCTATTTTGCTCCATTTTCAGACGCACTACCATCATAAGAATACCATACACGTACACTACACAGCACATAATTATTTGAAACAAGTAAGATGAAGACAGAGTCTCCATCTCCATCTAACCGTGCTGAAGAGCTGTGATACAGCGAAACGCGTCCACGGATGGTCCCGCAGAGATAAAACACTTCTCAATCGGTCCTTAATTGGGCCGTTACCTAATTAAAAACATAATTATTTGTTTGTATTGTTCTGGGCTGCTATAATAGTTACGTGATACTTTTGTCAACAACTGCTTCCTTGATCTATATTTGACAAAAACTTAGGACCTATTGCGGTAAAGATGAAAATTTAGATTTTGAAATATTTTTGATTGATGTCATTACAAAATTGAAAATATATAATTTTTTAAATATCAAAATGAAAACATGCTCCTCGTGCATAAAATCTTGTATGCACCTCAGTCAAAAAGAGCTTTAACGCCCTCAGCGTGTAAACAGCCCGCGGCTAACGCCTCAGGCTGTTACACACGCTGCGGGCGTTAAAGCTGTACTTTTTGACCTAGGTGCATAAATAACTATTAGCAACTTTAATTTCATTTTTTGTAACCTTGGTGATACTATACTACCCACATCTTTTCTAAATATACCAATTAATGGTTTGTGATCATTAATAACTTTCACTGGTTTATCATAAATATAATAATGGAATTTTTGGATAGCGAAACAAGTTGATAACATTTCTTTTTCGATTTTAGAAAAAGATTTCTCACTATTTGTTAAACTTCGAGATGCATGACTAACTGGTTGGTTATCTTGAAGTTAAGTACACCCAACACCGTTTTGGCTTGGATCTGTTTGTATAACAACATTTTTATTCGGATTAAAATTAGCAAGAACTAGAAAATTTTTCATCGTATCTAAAAAAAAAATGTTCTAGTAACCACATCTTTTTTTAGCATGGACCTTAGTGGTGCGCTTATCTCTGCAAAATTGTTGATATACTTACGTAATAATTAAACGTTCCCAAAATACGTTGCAACTCCTTTACCTCCAAAGCATGAATGGCTTTAACTCTAACCGGATCGGGCATAACCCCTCTATCAGAAATAATTTGACTTAAATACTTGACACTATTCAATTTATACTGAACTTTGTTTCGATTAAATTTAATCTTTAAATTTTTTGTTTTTTGCATTAAAATTTTAAGTGCGTCCTCATGAGATTTTTCATTATCTGAGGCCAATAAAATATCATCAAAATAGACTATTAAACCTGGGACATCTGCAAAATTTTCTTCAACAACATATTGAAAAATTTCTGGAGCATTAGCAACCCCCATCGGTAACCTGTTTAATCTATAACACCCAAAAATAGTGCTAAAAGTCGTTACATTTTTTGAAGCTTCGTCGAATTCAATTTGGTTTACGGTC